ACGTCTTTCTCCAAGACACCATAAATGACAGGAGGGGCGGATGTGAAGAGGAGGTTGAAGAAAATCAAGACCCAGTAGTCAGTCATGGATGTTCCAGAAAACCCACAGAAGAACTGGTACCAGAATAGGAGGTTCACATAGGCCTGGAACACAAAGTGAAACACTGGCACCTTAGAAGCTACAGTGAGAGCTATAGTTGTATGTGCCATATACCACCATTGTGTGATCTTTGTGATATTAGTTTCTGTGTGGTTAATATTAGTATATGGAGATATGTATATGCACATAATATTTTATAATAATATACATGTTTATATATATCACACCACACCCACCACCACCAACCACCACCTATGGTACCCCTTTACCTATCACCTTTCTATAACACTCCCCCTGGTGATAGTTCTGTTAGTAGAATCTAAGTTTGTTTTGTTTATTCATTTCCCCCTCTATATTCACAAAAGAATGAAGTCATATGTTATTTTTCTTTCTCTTTACTTATTTCCACTTAGCATAATAACCTCAAAGTCCACCCTATGTCGCAAATGGCAAGATGCTTTCTTTTTTATGACTGAGTAGTATTCCACTGTCATGTAAAAGTTTTATTCAATTATAACACATATGCACACACACACACACACACACACACACCACCTGTTTTATGATGTTGGCCTTATTCTAAGAGCTTTACAAGTAATTCACTTCATCTTTATTACAACTTGAGAATTACTTTTGTCCCCACTTTGCGCAAGATGAAACTGTGATAAAGAACTCGCCAAAAGCTAAGTGGCTAATTAATAAATGACAAAACTAGTATTCGAACTGGAACATTAATCTCTAAATGATAAGAACCTGGTCCAGAGCCTGGTACACAGCAGGTATGCAACCCAAAGCATTGGGTAATGCTTTTTCTCTTGCTTCCTGTTTTCAAAGTTCCTTACTAGTTGTGATCTGGGATATACAGCCGGTGGCTGACATGCAGTGTGCTGGGGATGGAGGTGTTTCCCTGCTACAACTGAGACAATTCCAGGCACATATGTATGCCCTATATCATTTCCTCAAGTATTTTGCCTCAATTAAATTAAGTCCATGATAGCAAAATTCTGTGCACAGAACCTATTAGGTGGTCTTGTTTCAAGGTCTGGAGATACTTTTTATTATTGCTTGACGTTAGATAATTAAGTTCTCTGAATTTTGGATTCTGCATCTGGAAAATAGAATTACATCACTCTGGGGCTCAGGATCAGATCAAGTCAGAAAGTGTACTGAGTGGTACAGGGCCTTAAGATACTAAGATGCTGTCACTGGCATCCCAGATACACTACAGCACTGCCCTGAGGGACAGAGACCACACCCTTAGTTTCTTAGTCTAGGGTCCTGGACATGTTTTACCCAGATAATGTTGGGGACATGTAGTCTAGGGTCCTGGACATGTTTTACCCAGATAATGTAGGGTAATGTTCTGAGGGTTAAATCTATAATCCTCATCAGTATCAGACACATTGTCCATGACCCAAGAACCACAGTTCTTATCTCAGAAAGATAAGCTACTGGAATACCTTTTGCTGCTGTCCCCTTCTACACCATGAAGTGATCACCTCTGGTCAGGAAGAAGAGGCGGATTGTAATTCTGGGGGTCCCCGTGTGATCCTCCTAGAGTTACAAAGCAGAAGCTCACAGGGTCCTTGTTCCCTGTTGTGTTTTCTCTACTAATAAACCAACTCTCTCTCTGTCCACCGGCAGGGGACATCTCTATTATTAGTGTATCTTCTTCACCCTTGGGTTAACTTGGGGTTAAGACCAGGGGAATGGGAACGACTATGGCATAATGGAGAAGATAAGATATTGCAAAGGCATTTTAAAAAAATAAAAAACTTGGGAGAGGAGCTCTTCTCCAAAAGTGACTGACCATTAAATCCTATCATATTTAATTTCAAATCACAGCTCTCACAAGATTCACCTATTCAGATAGAGAAGCTATACTTTTTCATATACTTTTATAAACTATTTTATTAAACTGAACAAATGCACTAATGCTAATTAGTAAATACAGACAGCTTTCTGAGGAGTTCACATACTGACAGAGAGACAGACACACACACATACCTAAATCACACATTTGGGATGTCCTAAAAATGAACTTTTGAATGAATTGAAGTTATTTTTCTAAAAGTGGTACTTCAACAGTGATCTAAATGTATGCTTCTATGAAGCTATACATTGACTTTAAAGACCAAGAATAAATTTGACCTAAAAACCATGACTTATTTTACGGTCAACTTGATTTTACAAAAGTGGATACTGAAATTTAAATGACACGCTGAAGATTAGAAGTCAACATCCTAATCAATTTCTGCCCTTATAGGAACTACATAGTCAAACCAAAGTTTCTTAACCACCAAATGACTACCAACCACAGATACATTTCCCAGGCTTGCTAGAAAACTCCTGCATCTGGGACTGCTGGTCAGCTTAAGCCAATAAGGCATTATACTAGATTTTTGCCTCTATTTGTGTCTTCATTATACCACAAGTGACATCAATTTGGGGACAGCAGAATTAAAAAAAATCTTTTTACCTCCTGTAAAATGGAAGCAAACCTTTTCATTTTCTACTGACAGACAGCATTAAACATTTCATAATTCTGCTTGTCACAGCCTTTTTATGCAAGGTCAAAAATTGGATTTTAAATGAAACAGACAGGGCTTAATTGAATTTAAAGCACAGGGAATAAAAATGCCAGCAGATGGACAACCCTAGCAATTGACTGTCAACGGCTGAACAGCACTTCCCAGATTATTTCTGGAAAGGCAGCAGGAATGCTCCTGGCTGAGCACAGCCCATCGGAAGCAAAGAAACTTCCAGTCAGCTAATTCCTCTTTGTCCTTTACTCACACAGGAGTGCAAGGTTGAAAGGGGCGGAGGGAACAAATTCTCTGGATCTACATACCACATTCTTGTAGAAAAAATAGAGAATCATGTTGGAGAGGCGTGTGTAACACCAGTGCCCATGGACAAGAAGGAGCTTGCTGAGGTGTTTAAACTGAGATACAGCAAAGTCACTGGCCATCACCGCCTGCAGAAGCAACAGGGAGAGGAGGTCACCCTGGTCAGCCAGACATGTCAAGACGACAGCACATCTATCTGACCATCAGCACACCGGCAGAACCCAGGGTTCTGCTAAATTTATATACCAAAAAACAATGCTCTTCAATAAAAAATATATTTTATATACAGACCAAAAAAAAAAATTCTTCCCTCTCCCACTTGCTCACCAAAAAAACCCAACAACAAGCCTTGAATACAGAAATGAATATTACTAGACTGTCTGGAGTCACTATGCAGCTTTCCAGTAATTCGTGAAACAAGAGTTGCCTTTGATGACCACTCGTGATATAATTTCAACAAATATGGCTCCAGGGCTCTCCCTGGTGGTGCAACGGGTTAAAGCACCACAGTATGAAGCTCTCCGAAGGCACTGCAGCATGGGTTCCATCCCCGGCCAGGGAGTGATCCACATGGCGCAGCAGACCTCTTCTGACCCACTCGCTGCTTCCCTCAGCAATGTATTTCTGTAGATCTGCCTGTTCTCTTCCCCATTCTGTCTGTGGTGAATCCTCTCACCCACCACACCCCTGGCCTGTACCCCAGTTCTGTAAACACAAATAAATCTTTATAAAAAAAAAAAGTGGCTCCATATTAAAAACCGTGGGCATAAACTTCTCCTCCAGGAGAAAAATATTTAAAAATATTTCGGTCATGACTTTATGAGTGTATAACATGTCAGGCAAAGAGGTGTTGGAGTTCCTCATCTTCTGTGGAGATGCCGTCATTTACAATCTCAGGAAACCCCTCACCTTGCACCTTTCCTGACAGCATTTGCTTCACATACAAAAAGCAGTCTCTGAACAAATTTTCATCTGAATTTTGGGTCTGAAATGCTCCACTTCCGGGGATACTCCCACCTCCTTGAGTGTTCTCTCACATTCTCTCCTTCTGTCCCTCTTTGTCTAGGATCTTTAAGTCCTTTGCTGAAAATCCTAAGCAGATTTTTGTCCATGTCAGATGTTACATAGTCATTGCAGGAGTAAAGATATATATTCTTCTGATAGGTAAGCTCTATTGCCAAGTGAACCATACACTTAAAATTATTCAGGAAAATACCATAAGACTCATCGGTAAACAAAGATGAATGGATAAAATTCAAGCTTCCCACTCCTAAGCTAACCACGGAGAGTCTCCTACCAAAGAGTTTACCTCAGAGGAAGGTCACCTTTGGATGGGCAAGCTCATGGTGCTTGGGTGCATACTCCACTCACCTGCATGCCTTCCTGGCCTGAGATCCCTATTCCAATGTCTGCTACTTGTATCATGCTGACATCATTGGCACCATCACCTTCATGAGGCAGAAGAAAAAAGTGAGAAATGTATGAGAGGTAAAGAATAGGTACAAATTTTGCACATCAACAGAGACCACTCAAGCAAATAACAAATCCTCTAAAGTTTATTCAGGTGTCCAAGTTCTAAGTAAGCAGACATTAAATGTATACCCCACTACCACCAGGAAGAATTTCAAACCCAATCTTGCTTAAGCTCCTTCAAGTTCTGATCTCCCATGCCACTCTCTAGTTTCAGGTTTTCTAGATATGTGGCTCTTTCTAGCCTCTGCACGTGTTTTCTGTATTTTTATAATATTTTCCTCCTTGCCCCCACCCACCTTGCTGGATTTCACCTGCTCTGACTCTCAAGCAAGCTTCAATGCCACCTGCCCTGGGAAGTTCTTTTCATCCTCTTTAAATCAGATGTCCTTCCTTAGGTTCCAACATGACTCAGTATCTCTGTCATACCTATACTGCATGGTGTTATGGTTACACAGAGACATCTTTATCTCCCCACCACACTGGATGCTTCTTAAGAAAAGCTATTACTTTTCTGTTGGTAACAAACCTTTGCTGTTCACAACAATTCACTAGATTTTAGGACACAGAATCCTGAATTTCCTTTCAATCTGAGTCCGTAAAACTTGTTAAAATAAACCCAATTGGGGCCTCCCTGATGGTGCAAGGGGTTAAGTCTCAGCTCTCTGAAGTTATTGGCAGCCACTGTAGCATGAGTTCAATCTCAGGCCAGGGAGATGACCGACATGGTATAGCAGACCTCTCCTGTCTCGCCTGCTGCTCCCCTCAGTAGTGTATTTCAGTCAATCCACCTGTTCTTCTCACTGTTCTGTCTCTAGTGAATCCTCTCATCCCCTTTTCCTGTACCTCTGGCCTACACCCTAGCTCTTGTATGCATAAAAGATAAGCCCATAAAAGATAAGCCCAAACTTCCAGATTTAGGATGGGCAACTAACCCAGGCCTGCATATTCTATTCTCTGACTTCAGTGCTTGGTTAAGAGATGAGCCTAGGACTCATTCAGCTGATAAAATGGAAATATCTCAGTATCTTAGCCTTAGGAATTCTGGATCCTGGGGCTTAAACAATTTACTCTTAATATGTTCATTAAAATAGTTGAAAAAAATCTAGTCTAATCTTGGTATTTTACTCTGGAAATTTAAAAAGAGAGGTAGTTTCTTTTTATTCAGTTGCTAATGTGACAGGCTATAAACCCAGGAATTTTCAATGGCTAAATCACTACCCCAAAGAGAGGATATACTGACATTGAGAACAATCACAAAAAAAACAGAAGTGGAAAGATGGCTAAGCCCTCATCTCACTAATCTCAAAACACCAGGGGAGCTCAAAGCTTTATCCCACACTGCTCCTCTTGTTTATTTATGCACATTTCTGTTTGGGGTGATCTCATCTATTTTCAAAGCTTTAACTTTATCCCCACCAGACACTATGATTCCAAAATGTGTAACTCTAGCCAAATCTTCACTGATTTTGAATCTGTGATTTGTAAATGCCAGATATTGTATCTGTCTGCCTAACTGACATCACTTACTAGACATCTCTTGGAATTTTCAGACTTAATATGTATAAAACCAAGCTTGTGACTCCCCTGAATCAATCTCAGTAAGTGGCAGCTTCCTCCTGTCCATTCTCAGAGAAAGGCCTTGATGTTCCTGGACTCCTAGCATGTAGTATATCCAACCCATCAGCAAATGTCTACAGCTTTTTCTTCAAATCATGCCCATTCCTATCCCATGCCCCACCACCTTTTCTGTTCACATCTAAGCTCAAATAACAATCATCTCCTTTCTGAATTAATTCCAACTGGTCTTCTTAATTACAGCCCAGCACCCAGCAGTTACTCTCAAAACAGCAGCCAAAGATTTGTTCAAACGTAAGGCAGACCACATTCTTCCTCTGTTCACAACCCTTCAATGACTTCCTGTCTCTTCAGAGAAAAACCGAAGTTTTTATAACAGCCTCCAACGCCCTAATGACCTGGCCACCTGCCATTTCTCTGCCCTTTGCTAATCTCATCAAACTCTCCCTTTGCTCAAGGAGTTTGGCCTCAGACACACCCTCACTTTCATCGTCTTCTCCATCAAGAATGATCTCTCCCCAGATCACCCAAGACTCCACATTATTTCTTTTGAGTCTCTGCTCACAAACAACCTTTTGCTAAGAAATTAAAAAAAAAAAAATTAAAATGACATCCATCCTCCCCCAAAACTCTACATCCGCTCTGGTTCTGGTTTGTTTCTTCAACAGTATTTGACACCACGTGATAGCTTATATATCTCTGCCATTTTGCCTTTGCTTTGTTTTACTATAAGCCTCTTATGAGATACAAACTCCTTAAAGAAAAGACACTTAGTCAGTTTTACAGAGTCTTGCATCACCACTGCCTACAAAACTCCTAGTCTGTAGAAGGCACTGAGTGAATATTTGTTAACTGTATAAACTCATGTCTCTGAATCGCACTTCCTTAAAGACCTGGACTTCCAGATCTATGAGTTGGTACATGACTTAATCCAGTCCATTCTGGCACCTGACATGTAACCTACAAAGTCCTGATTGTTATTTTCCAGGACACATTGTTCCTACCTGGTTCACAGCAGATAGTCAAATAGTGATAAAGGAAAGGAAGAGAAACTGAGGCTTGAAGGTAGACAGAAAGGGAAGAAAAGGTAGAGAGAAATGGGAGGGAAAGTGAGGGAGAAAAGGGCAGGTAAAGGACAAACAGAAAGAAGAGACAGAGGATCAGCCTTCCTGTGGCATGAAAGTGAGATGCCCGGGTACCCAGCCCACTCACCGACGGCCAGCGTCATCACCCCGAGGTGGTTGCGTACCAGTTTTACCACCTCACTCTTCTGCAAGGGTGTGGCTCGGCAGCAGACCACGGCTTGACAGCAAGCAGTCAGCTCCAGGAACTGCCTCTGGAGACTCTCTTGTAGGGCAAACTGCAAGGTCTTCCCAGTGATGATGAGGCCGGCCCTTGGCCCTGAAGCCTGTGGGCCAACACCCTCACTTGAGGATGTCTGCTCTAGAGAGGCTGGATTCTTCTGAAGTTCTTTCACAATTGTGCCCATCAGCATCTCACAGGCATCCTTGAAACAAGAGGCAAAGATAATTAGCCTGGTGCCTTCTGGGTAGCCGCATGGAGCTAAACTGATAAATGTCCTTCTTTAGCAGTTACTGCATCCGTAATCCCAGGTGGTGAATAATGGGTTACTTTTAAAGGTCCAAGGATCTTCCCTAGGGGCTTCTTCTCACTCTTACCTCTGTAGCTAAGAAATGAAATAGCTGTAGAATGTCTTCATGTGCACAACTTGCCTTCTCAAGCAGTGACTCTCAAGAATGCTTTGGTCTTATTCTGCCATTCACTAGCTGTCTGACTTTACGCAAATTAACCTCTGAGTCTCTACTTTTTTCATCTAAATTCTGGGGCTATATCAACGCATAGAAAAATCCCTGCCCTCATGGAGTGCACATTCTGGTGGGCAAGTTCTTGGTGGTGCTGATCACATCTGGCTGGTGGACCTCCCTCCACAGTCTCACCCCACACTAAGGCCATATGTTATACGCAGACAGGAACTAGGAAATTCTTTAAAGACAAATATCACTTTTAATTTACTTTTGAGGTCTTCATACCATCTCAAAGAGAGCCACACCAGGCACCCAACTGTTTATTGAATGAGTTCTATTCAAGAAGAAGAACAAACAGCCCATACATTATTACATCAAATGACTACCAAGGACAGATCCAGGCAAAATCCAGAAGCAGTGCATTTGAGATGCTAAGCTGACATAGTTTAGTTATGAAGAGTTACCTCTCTCAGAGCCCATTTACTCCTATTTCAAAGGCTGTTTTCTCAAGCATCCCTTAACCTGGCCAGGGAGGAAGCAGACCTGGCTCCATAAGCAGCTGCAGCAAGCCACGTGAAATATGAACACGATATTCAACTTCACAGTCGAGCTACCGGCGATATTTATCTTAGGGAAAAAAATGATATCATACACTTCAAATGCCCCCAAGGAAAAGTGCCCAAAATGAATAAAGTTGTAAATAGCTATACTTAAGATAATTCAGTTTGCAAACTTCCAAAAACTGATGGAAATTTGTAAAGTGAAAATCTAAGACTGCTAAAATGACCAGAGAGTTCATGGAATATCCATTGCCAACAGCCCAGCCTGAATGCTAAAAAGCAACTCCTTTTGGTGATAAACTGAGTTTCATAATCTTTAATTTATTTTTATCTTAGTGTTTCATAAAGAGGGAGAAGTGGCAGGGGGGCAGGGAGGAATACTTCTGCCTAAGCCTCACTATATCCCCAGGATTTTGTACCATAAAATTAAATTATGGGCACTGTGTCTTCTTTACTTATCTGGAAAATCAACACAGGTGGAATAGCAAGAAAAAATTCCCTTTTTATTTAGTATGGCCCACAGGGGGTGCTCAATGAATACTTCCTAAAATAACAGTTTTAATACCTGTCACCATGTATTTTATATTTGCAAATAAATTTCACATTCCTAATGATTTTACTGCTCTCAGAAATCTCAAAATCAAAATAAAAACAGAAATACCATGTGATACAGCAATAATACTGCTACCTATTTACCCCAAGAATACAAAACACTGATACAAAAAAGACTTACGCACTGCTATGTTCACAGCGTCACTACGATAGTCACGTCACAGAGCCAAGCTAAATGCCTAACGATAGATGACTGGATAAAGAAAAACTGTGCAATATACACTGAATGGGACACTACTCAGCTCTTTAAAAGATGAAATTGTGCCTTTGGGGACAACAGTGGATCAATATATTGATTGAAACATGCCTATATGAAGGGAAAGTGAAAGACAGTTATCAACTGTGGAATATAAACAACCAAGGGAGGGAGGGAAGTTGGTGCGGTGGTGACACTGGAGCTTTGGTGGAGGGTGTCACATGGAGGTGTGAGGTGGTGCTGTCACATGGAGGTGTGAGGTTACACAACCCAAATTACAGTGATAATAAAACAATTATGACAATCCATAAAACTAAAAAATCCCAAAGTCAAAATCAAACATGAAGAACTGACAACTTTCCCATTTTCAATGTTCACTGAACCCTTTTCAGCTCTCAGGCATCACATTAAACAATTTATATCTTCTCATTTAACGCTCATAATAGCCCTAAGAAACAGGCATTATTTTCATATTGTAGGTAAGAAAAATACCTCAGCACGGTAAGTACTCCACCAGGTCACAGAGCTGGTAGCATTTGAACTCTCTGGGTCTTGCCAACCATCATCCAGGGCGAAATTTTAGGTCTCAGCCTAGAGAGACTCAGCATTTTCTTGTGCTCAGTCTCAGTTGATGCTGGAAACTGGCTGATGGTTGTGGTGATGGTTCATGCAGCCACCGCCAGCTGTTAGGCTGACTCATTCTCTGTTGACTAAGGAAACACTCTCCTTAAAGTGTGAGGAGTGGGTACTGGCTGAGGTCTGACCAAAAAATCCCTGCAGCCCATGTGGCAGCTTTAGAGATCCAGTGAGATGCTACACAGGAGTTCTGAGAAGCTGCCTGACTGAATGAATGTCACCCATTAAATTTGATTACAGAGGAAGGAAGGAGGAAGTATTTCGAAGCTAATTAAACAATTTGCACTGATCATAAAGAAGTTCACTATACTAGGAATCAAATAAAATGCTTGTTTATCTGACTAGAACACTTGAGTAGGAGATTAGTGGGGGGTGGGGTAGGGGAAAAAATTGGAATAGGTACAAACTTTTTAAGTTCCTTCTCCTTAGAAGACAAAATCTTTTTTCCTTCTCTTAAAGAGTTCAGTAAACTTTGATATTCTCAAGAGCACTAGCTAAGAACCGCCACTAGAGGGCATGATTAGCCTGAGAATCTATTTTTAGTATTTCCATTAAAACATACGAACAATTCACCTGATTCAGATGGAAATCAGCACTTCCCCTCAACTTGAAATGGAGGTAGATTGCTATCCTAGAACTTGATCTATTTTGTCATTATCAGCTGAATTCTGTCAAACCCCTGGTAATCGTGAAGGGGAAGAAAAGCAAATTAAAAAAATTTAAAAGGAAACTGCTAATGCCCTTATTCAGCAGTGCTTGCTCTGAATCCTTATGATTTTTTTACTGAGCATCTAGAAGAACAATGCCCTTCCAAGCACATACTGGGATGCTGAAGAGAAGAGATGATAGGAATAAGAAATAATAATCAAGGGGTTAATGGTTACCAGTTTTTTGTTCTGTTTTTTCTTTATATTCATCAAATCACAAGTGTTCCACTGGCTTTGAGAAAACAAGAGGACTGGTTTAGTCTCATTACACATACTTTACTTTGGGTATTGAGGATAAATAGCTTGTCTTCAGGCTCCAGCAGTTTGCACGCATAAGCAATGTTGATAGCTGTTTCCTGCTTGTCCCCTGTCAGCATCCAGATCTTGATGCCGGCCTTGTGGAGGGCTTCTATAGACTCAGGGACTCCCTCTTGCAGACGGTCTTCAATGCCAGTGGCCCCTAAAAAAATAAGCAAAGTGTGGCAGGCTTGTAAGAAACCAGTCTCAGCAGGAGCTCAGAGAGACTGCAGCTGAACAATATCTCCTAGCTAGTCCAGTCCAAATCTCCTCGCGCTCCCGTGACTTCCAGAGGATCCAAATGTAAATGCAAAGGCCCAGGCCCACATCATAAAGTAACACTTTGGGAGAAAAGCCTGAGGACTCATGAGTTGATCAAACTTACATTTTTACCTTTTGGCTAACTCTTACATGTAAATTGAGGGTGTTGGATTCAGGTACTCTATAATTTATAGTAGTGTATTCCCTAGGGGAAGGGCAGAGTTGTAAAGAATGCTCTTGCCAGTAAGATGTAGTATCTATTTACAACGCTCTTTCATGATATGTCTATAATTTCTTTTTCTGAAATAACTGGAGGCAAGATAAAGCTTAGAATTAAAAAGATTTGCAGATTTTTAAAAGGTAACATGTTACATTTGTCATATTTTGTATATCTGGTAATCAAGCATATTAATATTGCTGCAGTAAAACTTACAAATGTTTAAACTAATTAGGATAATAAGGACTTATAAATAGACTATCAAATCAGGCCTGATTTTGTTGCCAAATGAGTTTTGGCACTAAACACACAGAGCATTTGAGTTTGGATTTTCAGATGAGGAAATGTGGGTCTCATACTACTCACTGTCACTGAGAAATGACTTAGGAGAAGAAATCATCACTGTTTTTCTCTCAACCAGAGAAATGGAGTCCAGATGTCGGTCTCTTGGAACACTAGCTTTTATATTAGAATCTAGACTTCCAGACTCTAAGGATGTGGTTCTCAACTTTGCTTCTCAGAATTACTTGGGGAACTTCTAAAAATTCAAATGCCCAAGGCCATGGGACCAGTTGAATCCACCCCAGGAATAGGATGTAGACACCACTAGTTTTGAAAGCACTCCATGTGATGTCAAGATACAGCTCAACTTGGGAGAATGGGTGTTATTTGTGCAACCATTAGTCAAAATCAGGAAAGAGAGAAGAAAGAAATTTCGTAGTCGATTGCAGATACAAAATAAAGAGCTGGAGCCAGCTAGACCTGAGCTCCTTTCTGGCTCTGTAAGTTACCAATTACGAACTTCAAACAAGTCACTGAACTCTTCTGGGATGCACAATTCCTTGCATTAAGATACAGATCAAAAAGACAAAACACATTAAACACTTTATCTAGGGCCTGGCCAGAAACTTCCCCTTTAGTCTCCTGAAGCAGGATATGTACTTGGTTTTGTACTTTATGTTAAGTGTTAAGTTGTTTAGTTGAACCAACTCCCATGAAGTCCAGTTCACAATAGCAGAATTCAGAATGGAAAGGACTGGAAGATAGGCAGGCATCATACAGGGTAGCGAGCACCACATATGCTTATTGCATCAGAATGGAAAAAAGGAATACTAGGAAAAAACTTGAGACATCCAGATTTGTTAACATTCATCACTGCAAAATAGTCTACCTACCAAGTAAAGTTAGTTTGTTCTCCAACCTCATAGCTGACTCCAGCAGTAACTCCTCCCTGTTGTCAATGCTGGTTTCAGCTAAAAAATGATTCTTCAGCCACTCTGCATATTCATTGTCACTCATGACCTTTGGGGGAGAAAAAAGAGCTGTGAAGTGGGCCATCTGGGGATCCCACCATGACCTTCCACTGTGAAGTCTCAGGCCACCAACAATCTTCAGATGTTCCTCTCTGGCACATCCACACCAGGTTCACGGCCTCCTGCCATCTGCTCAGGAGCTTTCTGAGCTCTGTGATCATCTAGTGTAAAGTAACACTGATGGTGGGCAGAGGGACCCTGGAGCCTCTCAGAAATTCTAGGCACCATATGGGGTGAAAATGGGTTAACCTTTTTATTTATAAACAAGGGAATATGAAGTTGGGAGAGGTCTCCACCTGGTAGCTAACTGTAGCACATTTCTGGCATGGCAGCTGAGAAAATGGGGTCAGGTCCATTCAATTTGACGCATAAGGTAGCAGCAGCAACTCTGATATCTTTCAAGAGTTGGTCTATGGATATTTAAAAAGGTTAAAAAGAAAGTGGGGACAGGGATGAAGAAGGAAAATGTTATTCCAAACAAAACTAAGTGCAATTTCCTTTGTCTTCAGGTTGCCAGTGAGGGACAAACATCCCTTTCAGTTCTTATAACGCTGCGTAGAGAAAGGACGAAGCATTTCTGTCTCATCTACTTATTTTGGTCCATAAGGTAATTTGTTCTGGGAGCATCTGACAGTTTTGGGCTACATTGTTATCAAAGGTAAGATCATTCTATTGAAATTCCACATTCTTCTTACAACACTAGGTGAGTTGGGCTTTGTGACTGCTACAGTAGCTGGCTGACAAAGTACCACCTCTCTCTGGCTGCCTCCGAAACTAGAATTTGGATAAGAAATACGAGGTCCTGCTAGAATCTACAAGCCAGGTTTCCTAGGTGTCTTGTGGCTGGGAAGTTATTGGATAGCCAAAAGCATACTGACACTTTATCCACATGGCTCTCCATGTTTTGTCTACTCATTGGATTCTAGGATGAATGGGAGGGAACTGAATAATGTGCAGTTTGACATGGTGACTACCTAAGCTACAACCCACTGGCCAAGGGCAGCAAATTCTTGACTAATTCAGAATGGGCTTTATCTCCGTTTCTCCTATTCTCCTCTGGGGACAAGGTTATGATGGTAGTAACATCCCCCAAATCATTTCTTGAAGCTGTCTTCTTACTTATTAAACTTTTATTTTGAATAGATACACTATATTCTGGGATTATTCTCAGAATAATCAATACTGAGATAATATTTAATGAATTTACCCGGGTTTACAGAAGAACACTGATGAACATGTCAGGAAAAACTATCAACAACTTAAGGGAGAAAAACAAGGCCAGGCTCCAGCCTCATTCTTTCCAAAGCACATTTAATGCTGTGAGGCAGAGGAGTGATAATTAGAAAGTACTTAGGGGAAAAAAGATCCAGGGACTTTATTCCCAAACTGCTATTTACATGCAAAGGCAATACCAGATATATCAAAATGTGGTAACTCAGAGAAGATAACTTTAGGTATCCTTCAGACAACACACGTGGAGAATAAACTCCAGCCACCCGATGCTTATCAAATAGGGAAATTGTGAAGAGGTCGCTGGTCCCGGCACTTTGCCTGATGCCTGTGCCCCGGTTTGATATGTACTAATTTTCACTAAATGCTGTCTGAGCAAGGGCGAGAACTAAGTCGCTCACCTTCTTTGCTATACATAAAGTGCGTAGGCCTCGTTTGGCATAGTCGTCCAAGTGTTTCTGGGTTTTCTCCCTTATTATCATCTGTTGTTTTTCCAGACTTGCTCCATCTGAAATAATTAACAAATACAAGTGTTCCCACTAGTGTGCCCAATTATAGCTATATTTTTAAAAACAGTGAGAGCTTAATTCACAACAAACAAAAGGCCTTGTCATTTTGAATCCCACATGTGCATTTACAAAGAGAAGCCCTCATAATAAATCTTGTCCTGTTGCCCCTTTCTCCCTGGGGCAAAGAAAGTACCAAGAAATTTCAATATAAACACCTTTCTAGCACCATCTAAAACAACAGTTAACAGGGCCTCCCTGGTGGCACAATGGATTAAGTCTCAGTACTATGAAGCTAATGGCAGCCACTGCAGCACAGATTTGATCCCTGGCCATGGAGATGGCCCATGTGGTGCAGCAGACCTCTTCCATCTTGCCTGCTGCCCCTGCTCCCCTCAATAGTATATTTCAGTCAATCTGCCTGTTGTGCTCCCCACTCTATCTCTAGTGAATCCTCTCACCATCCCCTCCCCATGCCTCTGAACTACAACTCAGCGTTTGTATGCATAAATAAATAGATCTTAAAAACAAAAACAACAGTAACAATAGCTACATTAGCTTTTGTTCATGAAGCACTTGCCACTTGCTAGGTTCAAGGGTGAAGGCTCCACATGCATTGCCTAAGTAGGTCATTAAACTTCTCAGTACCCTATAATGGAGGAAGTAAAATCCCAACTTACTGAAGAGTTAGACACTGAAAAGTAGATAACTTTGCCAACTCATCGCTAACAGCAGAGATCACATTTGAACCCAAGTTATGTATCTCCCCAATTCTAGTTCTTCCTCACCAAATCCTACTTCACCAAGTGTGGTTGGTCTCCAAGCATCCACCAAACTATGAGAGTGTCTAAACTTTTCCTACCTCCATTTTCTGGGTTGCGTAGGAACTCACCTGGGTTAGTTGTGGACAGTAACTCCATGATCACAGAATCGGCCCCCTTTGTATATACCACAACCTGATTGGAAAGAGGGTGCCGGACTACAACGGACATTCTTTTTCTTACTGAGTCGAAGGGCAGGATGTGTAAGAGTTGAAATGTTAGTGGTCCCAGAGCAGCAAAGTCCACCATGACCTGCTCTGGGGTGCGGGACCGTAATGTGCACTGGTAAGCCCTGGCGGCATACACCAGGGCTGCTTCATCCGGGCTCTCAGCCTCATAGCACAGGTTGGAGGCCAAGGGCTGTCCAGGTAGGGACTCCACCTGACTGTTGGGGAGGCCGGCCTCACAGACTTGGTTCTCTGTTTCCAAGGGGCAATCGGGGTGACTTGAGTCCTGCAGGTTCTCACTGGTCTGGGAGGCCTCTTCCTCTACAGGTGAAGTCAGTTTCATCCTACTGAAGAGAGACAGCCTGCTCACAAAGGGGTTCGGGACCCCAGATGAAGGCTCTTTGCCACTGGCAAGAGATGGTGAACTTGATCTCCGGACAGACAATCTCTGGAAGAGGTTTTTAATCTCTTCCAAAGACTTAATGGGCATTCCACTAAGTGAAGAGAGGCCAACCTAGGGAAGATAAGGAAGGTCTCAAAAATATAGTCAAAAGTAGTTTATAACCACTTCAAAATCAAACTTGGAAAAAATGAGACGTACTACCTTAAACAACTAGCAGCCTGCTTCAGAATTTACAACTATGACAGAGAATACTAATAAAAATACCCAGGATGGAAAAAATGTACACTGTTGACCACATTAAGAATTTCTATGACCATTTATAAGAAATTTAACAACTGATAGAAAAATGCTAAAAAAAAAAAAAGACTAAAGTTACAATCAGTGAACATTCAAATAACTTTTTCTAATGAAATAACTTAAGATATGGTTAATTCCAGAATACTTATTGTGTAAATTCTAGCAATAACAATTTTAATCAAATGAAGTATTCAAGAATAGCAAATTAGAAATATCTTCTCAAAATACTATCCAATATTTAAAAAAAGTCTTTAAATGCTTTTGGGCAATATTAGAACAACCATAAACATGGTATGAATACCATAAGGACATGTACCATAAGCAATAGTATACAATTTAAAACACTGGAAGAAAACCAAAAGGTTAAAAAAATGTTATTTTTTCTTTTCCAGATTCTATAAAAAGTTGATACTATACCTCCTTTTTGAAAAACGAGTCAGTAAACAAAGTTGTTTACAGAAGAGGAATTATCAGTACAAAAGGTGAATTTGAATTTCTATTTTTATCGAATATCTTATTGGTAGCATGAATTCTCCCAGCTCTGAACTTTTGTCAATGATTAAACTTAGCCATTTAATATTAATCATGAAGACAAATTGATTAGATCTTACAATGCATTAATTCAGAAGTGTCCAAGGAATTAAACATTCTCTCCTAGAAATTATTAATTTTATAGTAGGTTGAGGGACTTATGCTGGTTAATTTTCAAACTTGTTGGCAACTTAGAAATGAAGAGTAAAAAATCAACCACAGTTAGGGTTCCTGTATTTGGCATGAATTTAGTTTATCACCTTGTGCACTGTCTATCATTATCTTAAAATAACATGAAACTTATGCATGTATATGCCTACAGAGATTTTCTTTCACTTCATAGGATATTTCATTCTTTGAGGATAAGGCAAGTATATTTCTTAGAAAACACCCAAACATCCCTATTTTGGAAATAAATATATGAGACAAATTGTTATAGGAAGAGACAAAAAGACTAGCCAGTGGTTCATTACTTTCAAAGAGCAACCTTCTAGTTGAAATCATTAAAAAAAATAGTTTTCTTCAAATGAAAGTTTAATTGGAAGCAACCTATTTTTATGCTAAAATTGACCACCTCTGAAGTTGGAGCCATCTAGGGGAGATGGCTCCATACAAGAGACAGCACAGCAAGGGGTGAATCACCAGTTTCCAAAGCAAGCCTTTTTAGCTGAAAATGAATTTTCCATGAATTCTAAACTACCAAGAAACTTTTGAAATTCCAGTTTTGTGAAAATGGTGGAAACTTGTTACCACTACATTATAGATGTGATGGATTTTAGATTGACTGAGTTAAAACTAACCCAGCTGGATTTGAAAAAGTTACATTATCATTATACACGATCATGGATTCAATATATTGTATTTTTCTTGAGGTAGCACATATAATGTTGAAGGGCTCAGAATTCTCAAAGAAAGCTTCATTTGTTAAGGGAAGTAAAACAAAAAGAACAAGGACTTCTCTTACCAGCTATTCTCCTAGAAGCAAAATAATGCAATAGCAGTGAATCACACTTCCTGGATTCAAATCCCATCTCCCCACAAACCAGTCCTGTAACCACAGCATGTTACTTAACCTTATCTGTTAAAATGGGAAATAGTAGAGTAATAGTACCTGACTCATTGGGTTGTTGAAGGATTAACATACTACTACAAGTAATTCACTCAACATCTGTGCAGAGCACAGATTAAGCTGCTATCATCAACATCATCTATAACAAAACCAGTAGAATATATTTAAACCCAAAACTCTGTTCTAGAAGGTGATCTTTGTTTGCATTGAGGCCTTACCTTTTGTCGTGGTTGGTTAGGAGCAGAAACCACTACTGTGTTACAAATTGCCAAAGCAATAAAGAAGTCAAAGATGTATAAAGTCTCCAGGGGTGGATTTGGGAGGGCTTCAACTGAGGAGTTAAAGAGCTGAGGTGTAATTTGACTAAATTTTTGTAAAAGTCTGATGTCTGGAACCACATCCGTTTCCTGAAGAGCCAATAAAACAAAACAATGTGTTATTATAATAAGTGTCTAAAAACAAGAATTTTAAATTAACATAGAGTAGCCTTTATAAATAAGAATCATGAAACATGAAATAGTAACTTTATTCTTATAAAAAAATTATTTTTTAAGGATTTATTTTTATTTATGCGTACAAGAATTAGGGTGCAGGCCAGAGGTATGAGTGTGGGGAGAGTAAGAAGGTTCACTGGACACAGATTGGGGAGTAGAAAAAGCAAATCAACTGAAATATACTGCTCAGGGAAGCCAGTGGGCAAAACAGGAGAGGTCTGCCTCACCATATGGATTAGCTCCCTAGACAGGTATTGAACTCATGCTGTAGTGTCTGTGGATAGCTTGAAAGTGTTAACTTTAACCCCTAAGCCACCAAGAAGGCCACCTATTTTTATAAAAAATAATAATAATAATAATGTACTTGATGATAACTATATGAATTAAGACTAGGGAAATAAAGGAAAATCTAGACACACTATTAATAGAGATGACCTTGACTAGTATCTTAAGCTAAATAAGAAATAGGAAAACCACCAACATCTAGTTGAATGAGTGTTCACTTTGAAATACAGAATGCCAGGGCGAAATATTTTTGAGTCTAAGATTCCACTATGGGCATAGATTCATCTAATAAGAAATTATAAGTATCAACTGTTTAAGGTAAGGGCAGTGGTTCAAACCACATTATTTTAACAAAATATTTAATGCTTCAGGTCACTGCTCTTGGAAAAAAATAACACACCACAATAAAGCTACTTTAAGTCAGCTAATAGATTTAATCACAAGACAGTAATTAGTTCTTATCATCAAATATATTTGACTATGTCCTGTGCCCTCCCCTTAAAGACTCTAAGTACAAACTGACTCCAAGAAGGACTAATGGAAAAAAAATACTCAATTTTGTTTAATATAATGCTTCTCACACTTAAGAGTATTAGTTTTAATATTAGACTGATATAGTAGAAATCTTTTTAAAATCTAGTAACATATAGTTATGGTGTTAGAAATTTTCAGATGAGTCCAAGAAGGGACTATCTGCTCTGAGGAGTCCTGTACACAGCTGGCTGAATTTCAGGACAGGTGAGCAGGCTTTAGAGAAAAGGGCAAAGTCTGAAGATTTGTGACCTTAGACTTGGAATATGTAGCTTGTGTTACATGGTTAGGAGTCTGGGTACAGGTCTTAGACACACATGTATACTACCTAGTAGCTCAGGCCTGTTATCTAACCCTTAAGCTGCATTTGCCTTTTACAAATAATGATAAAATAACACCTACCCACACGGTAGCAATATAAAGGACGTAAGATAATGAGGTAGTGGAGACCAGCACAACAGGAACCCTGGTAATTTAATGTCCCTTTCCTTCTCAAATGGCATACTCTCAGGCAGGTTACCAGGTATACAGTGGGATTTAAAGCCTGAGTTATCTGCTGTTACAAAGCATTCTTAGACTAAATACACCAATATCCACTAACCTTTGATATTTAGCATAGCAATATTTGAATCTTAGAGCAATTCTATGGAATTCATAGGTACTTGCAATTCGATGACTGTTCATCAATGAGTCAGCCATATACACTCATTTTATACCATTATTATGTCATTGTCTGCTATCAGTCCAGTAACTTACTCATTAATCTTGCATATATTTACTGATCTATGATGCCTGGCACCCCTCAGGGACAGAGAGGTGCATAGGATATAGTATCCTGGCTTGCATGGAACTCACATTCTAGTGGGAGGAAAGACTGATGTAAAACTAACCTATAAATAGGATACTTCTAGATTGAGAAATTGAGACAAAGAGAAATTGGGAGAGGGGAGTGAAAAGTATTTTGGATTGGGTGACAAGAAAGGTTTATTGAGGAGGTGACATCACAGCTGAGACTTCAATGACAGGAAGAAGACAGTTATACAAAGATCTAAGGGAACAGCATTCTAAGTAGAATGTACTAAGTAGAATGTAGAAAGTAAGCTCCAGAAGACTAAAGAAACATGAAAAGGTTAGCTTACAAGGGCTTCTATTTCTGACATAGGAGATATGAACCCCAAGCTCATGACCTCCATGACACCCTAGCTCCCAATGACTGGCACCTCCCCCCACACCCTACTAGGATCTGTGCACTCTGGCTCTCAACTTGACTACAATGAAGGGGGTTAGCTTACAGTCTTCCACTGGATATCACAGCTATAGTGTGCTTTCAAGTGAGCGTTCTCAATCTGGACTTTTGTAATCATATAAAACATGTTTACAAATGTTCACCTTTTAGGTCAAAGGACATACAAGTTTTCTCAAAATAATGTAATATTTCTCAACAGCAAATTATCTCAAAAATTAGGAAGTTGAGCTATTGTTTGTTTAGATTTCTTATTATAAGTGCAAATCACATTGAACTGCCATTTGGGAGTCTCCTCTCAAGTAGAAAAGACAACAGTATTTGGCTCTATCAGAATTACAAGGAAGTTCTTTCATTATTCACTGTAGAATGTGCAATATCCAAGTCACGCCTTCACACTTACAATGGGGCTACTGAAAGCAGCCTGTCTGGAGTGAGGCACTTCACCGGCTCCTTCTCCACTTCCTGAAGCAAAACAGCTCCCCACAAGATAATTCGAGGATTTACTTCCCAAAGGCCCATGATGAACTGCCCGGCAGTTGGAGGCCTTTAGTTTTGCCACATTGCTGAGGGAACCACTGGGAGCTTCTACAAGATCTTCATCTTCGGAGACAACTTCCTGATAGGACTCTAACCTCTTTGCTGAATGATAAAAATCACACTGGATTATTATCTGAGAAGAACCACTTGCAAATTTAATATGTTAGGCATTTTCTTAAGCAGCCATTTCATGCCATCTCTTCCCTTTACAAATTCAGGCTCCAAACTTCCCTCTAAAACTCTGAGTGAACTTACCTCATTGAGAAAAGTAGAAGCAATTAGATAGGAACTTCCTTATTTTCCCACATCAAGCCAGTCTATCCACATCTGTATCCACACGTTCTACCTCCCCCTGCTAGAGCTTCGAACACCGAAGCCTCCACTTGTAATCTGAATCCCACTCCCTCCAGCCTTCTCAGGGATGTCACCTTGCATTGACCCCAATCTCTCCTCAATTAACTTCATGGATTTCAACCCCATCTATCTACTGACCTTGCTTTTTTCAAGTTCGTCAATAAGCTCTAGGTGACCAAATCCAAGGATCTATGTCCAAATATTACTTGAGTGCTTGGCAATGCTCTGCAGAGTTGGACATTCTCTCCTTGAAATGGCTCTTTCGTGACACCATATGTAGCTGTTTCTCCTGCTTCAACAGATGTTCCTCTTATTTTTCTCCTGCACATTTTTATTCTCAGCTCTCAGATATTGAGTTGTCAGGGAGCCCCTTTCCTTCTCTACCTGTCAACTCCTGGTGGCATCATCCAATCCCATCTTTGAAATATCATCTCTGTGTACATGTTCCCTATCTCTAGACCTTCAACCTCTAGTTGAAATCTGGATTCATGATTCCACTATCCACTGGCTACTCTTCACTGGATGCCCAGGAGGCTCTTTCTTTAGATAACTGCATGGCTCACTCCCTTACCTCCCTCAAGTCTCATGGTAAGTCTCCTTGTCAGTGAAGACGTACCAGATAATCTCACTACCTATATTATGAGGCTCCCTCACAGCTTACTACCATCTAGACACTGTCTAATTTTATTTTGATTGTTTAAATCATCACAATATAAATTCAAAAAGGCAGAGAATTTTGTCCATCTTGTTGATATTATACTCAGTCAAAGCAGTGATTGATAGGTACTAATAATATTTATTAAATAAGTAAATAAATAATTGATATCTTAAATTTCACGTGCTCAAAATAGAATTCCTCTTTTCACCATCAATCTATTTTCTCCAGTCTCCCATCTTTGTAAATTTCACCTATCTATCTAGATACTTATGCCCAAAATCTAGGAATTGTTTTTTAATCCTATTTTGCTATTCCTCCTATTCAAAGCATCACCAATAGTTGTCCATCATTCATCTAAAATATATCCCAAATATCTCTACTTCTCTCCATCGTTATCACCTTAGCTACCATCATCCAAGCCACCATCATCTCACAACTGGACCAGTGCAGTAGCCTCATAACTGGTCTCTTGCCCCTCTGAAATGCATCCCTGACATAGTAGCTCAAGTGATTTTCCTAAAAGATAAAGCAGAACAGATCACTCCCTGCACAAAATGCTCCATGGATTCACAATTAGAATAAAATCTAAGTCTCACAAGTTAGAATAAAATGAGAACTCCTTATCCTGACTTACATAACTCAAAACAGTCTGGCCTCTATTGATCTCTCTTTCTTGCCCTTTGCTCTTTCAAGCTGCCAATAAAATCCAGGTTCTCTGATATTCTTTACTTTGAAAATTGCCAAACTCATTTCAGTGAGATCTATGCCAGCTGTCCTTAAACTTCAAGAAAACATTCCAATGTAGCTATTCCTAATGTCTTCCTTAGAGAGGCTCTATCCAGCTATCCAACTCTAAGTAGTATTCCAATCACTTTATAACATATCACCCCATTGTAATTATCTCCAAAACACTTTTAATTTTGTAATATTTTCTTGATTTAAAATTATTTGTGACGATTTCCTCCAATAGAGGATCTGTGGGTGCAAGGACCTTATTTGTCTTGATTATCTATCATATATCCAATTTTTGGAACACAGAAGTTGATAATCAACATATATGTGCTTAATGTATTTCTAAGTTGTCTCTACTTAGTCCAAGTCTGACCACTTAGTAAAATATTAAAACTAAGTCTTTGTTCTCCTATAGTTTTCTTAACCTGCACGGTCAAGTGTGGAGTCATAATTCTATTTTGTTTTCTAAATATAACCATATATGCTAACGTTAACATGCATTATTCCCTATCATTTTACATGGTCAATATCTCCTGTTTGAAATGAGTCCATGTTTTGTGGTTTAAATATTTACTAAATGAATAATGTATAAATTAAGGATAGACATATTCAAGGCTAGGATATGGGGTAGGGCTTTGACACTTGTGGATTTCTATCCCCTTTTTAGCAGGCATCTGGCTAGGTTCTTTATATAAAGATCTCTTTCAATATCTTTATATTCTCCTTTTATTTAAAAATAATGCTATCAGTTAGGAAATATCACTATTCTACTCTGTACCAGAGACTAAGATCCAGAGAGACTAGGTACTCTGAGCATAGTTAAACAGCTAGTTGGGAGTAAAACTGAGTTTGAATGTAAGTCTTTGTGACTCCAAAGGTAGCATGTGTATCCACAACATTATAACTCTGCAGCAGTTATTTGCATATTACAGATCAATTCCATGGCTCTCAACAGAGGTGAATGCCTGTACACATGACTGGTTGTAACCCTGGAGGAATATTACTGGCATTTAGTGTCAGAGACCAAGATGTTTCTAAGCATCTTATAATGCACAAAATAGATCCACACACCAAAGAGCAATCTAGCCCAATATGTCAGCAGTGCTGAGGATCATAAATCCTTGAGTAGCTAAAGAAATTATGATTATGACACCATTTTTAAGTAAATAGAATGCCATACTACATATGTAATCATGAAGGCTATACTTTAGGAATTTCTCCTACCTATCATTAGGAAAATCAGTCACCATGCAATTGTATAATTAGTGTAGTGCCAGATAGCTCAGCTACTTGGAAAAACTTGTTCGATTATGTAGAACTGCAAGAGTGGAATCAAGAAAGCTTTAATTATTTTGTTTAAACTATCAGATGTAAACAGACCAGTAAAGTTATACCATGATTCAGAAAGCAAAGTTACTAAGCAATACTTCTAGAGTCAAGTGAAAAAATTTTTCTAAAACTGGGTATGAGATGCAAAGGTTTATCATCATACAGATAAACAAAATCTTTCCAAATAAGAATGACGACATCCTATGGCTCTTAAAGATGGTTCTAATTTGTTCCATGGTGGTTTAGAGCAAGACAGGAATTCTTGATTTCAGACTCAACTTGAGAAAACATGCAAATATGCAACTTTCCTTTGATTCAAGGTAAATACCTGGCTGGTGCTAGGTTAAATCTTTATTTTTTCTTATTTAATCTGGCTTCTCTATCAATTTCCATCTTCAAATATTCAGTAACTTGACAGACCTACTACTTGCATTGGCAAAAGTGACAATGAGACTGGAACAATTTTATCACATTTCTCCATCCTTCATTTAAAGGTGACCAGTCCAGAACTTATTCTAACTGCAACAACCTCATGTTGTCACTTAACATTTTACTAGGAATTGACCCCCAAATATTTCCAGTATGCTAATTTTGACCTACTTGTAAACAACACCCTCAGCTGTGTTCCTTCCAGCTGGATCATCCATATATCCTTGCTAACACTAACATTTTGTTCTAAATTAATTCCCCATATACTTCTAATATTCCAAGAACTTCCTGTTTAATATCCTACCAGGCCCCATATCTTAAACATTGCAAAATCCACCTCCAAGCTGTCTGAAAATCAAAAATATATGGAACAAGGATGCTATGCTAACTTTAATCTTTTAACACTTAACAAGGTAGTCTTATGTTTCCACAGCTGTCTCCCATGTTGAATCAAAGCTCTCCCAAACACAAGTGTGTAGCTTATTTCACAAGAGTAATTATAAGAATAGCAGCTAACACAAAGAACTAACTCTAACATTGATTTCATCTAGGTAAGCCTTATCAGATAAGACATTTAAAAAGAGAGGTCAGAACTCCCCAGAAGTCAGGGAAATTCAAAGCTAGAGATTCTCCTGCTGACCTTACAGAAGCAAATTGTCACATTGAAAAGGTAGTGTGGGAGGGAATGGTGGGTCACCTCCAGAAGCTCAGAATGGTTCTGGGCAGACAGCCAGCGCAAAAGCAGGGACCTCAACCTCTTAATCTCAAGACTCTGTATTCTGCCAAAAACAATGAGCTAAAAACAGAGGACCCTGAGCCTCAGATAACATTTAATCACGGCTGAGACCTAGATTTCAGCGCTGTTAGAGACCCTGTGAGTGGATAAAGCATTCAGATGGCATATTTGGGTTTTTTTTAAGGCCTAAACTTTGTGTTAATTTCTTAGGCAGTAAAAGGAAACTAACACAGTGATAACTAATGAATCAGGAGAATACAAGCCACATAAAATATCAGGGTTATATTCAAATTATTTATTAACTGGTTCAATACATGTGCACAAATGAGAACAATGACACTGGCCACAGGCTGTGGCCAGGGGTCTATAAACTGAGCCTTTAAAGGCTGCCCTGTCAAAATCCACACAGATTTTGTGGACTCCACCCCCACTCCAGACCACAGCCATCAAGACACGGGAAACTACAAATCCCATCATTATTGAAGGCAGGATTGCTGGGCTCTGAGGGTGGAGTTAGGCAGCCAGGCTTGATATAAAACCAGACCTGGGCTTTGGGGGTCGCTCGGCTCCCTTGGCTTTTGCGTCTCTTGGTCTATTGGCCTCTTGGCTTGACTCTTCGTGGCTTTTTGCTGGCTCTCAGTACGCGGTGGGGATTCCAGATCAGCGGAACTGGTAAGACGTATTTACCAATTTTTTCTCCCTGAAACATTCATTTCCCCTTCTTTTGCAAATTAACCCTTTTGTATGTGCCTGCAGTATCATTATGTCACTCTAAGCACAAGGGTGAAGACCCACAATCAGGCAACTCATTCCATATCGGGGTTGCCCTGTACCAAAAGGTAAAACCTTTCTACAGATAACTAACAATAAGAAAAATCCATTTGTATAATAGGAAAGACACACTTAGTCAAGAAAGTGCAAATGGCCAATAAACATGTAAAAAGCTAAACATCTCATTACTAATCAGAGACAAATTAAGATAATGAAGTGCTGTGTCAAAACCACACAGATTGAAAAGAATAACATCCTATTACAGATGAGGGTGAAAAAGCAGCATTATTTTTCTGGGTTGTGGGAATGTAAATTAGCATGTTTTAGAGACAAATTTTGTAGGCACTATGAAATCTTGTAGGTGAGTGGATCTGTCAATTCCACTTCTAGAAATATATAAAAAAAAAATCACAAGTATCAAGTCACAAAAATGCATGCTGCACAATGGATTTCCTTTTACCTATCATTATTTTTAGTCTCATTTGTTTATCTTATCACCCTAAATTCTAAACTACCTAAGATTAGAGATACAGGTCACATATTAGAAGCACACAAAATATTTGGTGAATAAGTCACATTAATTACAAGTAGTGTTTATAATAACACATGCAGTACCACCTACCACCGCCAAGCACAGCAGACTAAGTTCGACAACATACAGTGCACCTAATGTTAACTTATGAAATGACCTGAACTAAAGTACACAGATATTCTTGAGCAAAATAAGCAAACTGCAAAACAACATTATAGTGTGTTTTAATTCATACAAGGAAAAATGTGTAAATGTCTATGTTCACCTCTAGGCGAATAAGCATGAAGAAATAGATGGTTATGTAATCATCAAATTATTGAAGGTGATTAATCTGTAGAGTAGGATTTTTCATTTGTGTTAGGCACTTCTCAGAATAATCTTCATAGAACATATTACTGGAAAATTAAAAAATTCTACCATTTTACTTTCTTAAAGAAACCATGGCAGTAGCCAACTTGATTTTTGACCTACTTTTTTTTTTTTTAAAGATTTATTTATTTATACAGAACTGGGGTACAGGCCAGAGATGCGGAGGGTGAGAGGATTCACCAGGAACAGAGTGGGGAGCAGAACAGGCAGACTGACAAAGTACAATGCTGAGGGGAGCAGTGGGTGAGACAGGAGTGGTCTGCTATGCAGTATGGATCACCTCCAGGGCTGGGGATTGAAATCGCACTAAAGGGGCTGCACCAGCTTGCAGTACTGTGTCTTAACTCACTGCGCCACCAAGGAGGGCCCTGATTTACTAACTTTTGAAGGTAGATGGTCATTTGGATGGATGAAGTACCCAATCCTTAAATATAGCATTTCTGTGCCAGAATTATCAAACCTTTAAAGTGGGTACAAAAAGACCACCATTTTAAGGTTGGTTTTCATAGAAACCGAGCACTCACCATTTTCTTCATGGCAGTAATCAAAGCCTGCCACACTACACCTTCGAAAAACCATCTTATTCTCCGTTAGGGTTCCTGTCTTATCTGAAAAGAGGTACTGAATCTGTCCAAGGTCCTCAGCAATGTTCAGGGCCCTGCACTGAACAGTAGAATCCAATTTCTCATTGTAGAAATCCATGTCACTTTGAATAAAATATATTTGTCCAAGCTTCACAATTTCAATGGAAACATAGAGAGAAATGGGAATCAAGACCTAAAAGGAAACAAATAATGTTTAAAAATGTTAAAGGTGGTGGGGGGAAGAATGAGGAATTAAGCAAAGTGATATAAGTAGCAAGAATCTTAAAATTCTATGACAGAAATTACCTGTAACAAAATGATCATAGTCCAAAACATATAGAATCCTGCCAACCCTGGAGGTGTGACATGTCCATCAAGTTCAGGGATATTAAAAAAGGGCACATTTTCATATCTACTCAACCAGATTCCATGACCTTTCAAAAAAAAAATACACAAAACATCAAAAGAATGCTACATCTATATTGCTGCAAATATAGAACTTTCTTCCTAAAGAAGAGGAATGAGAGTACATATTTCGGTTGAACACCAACTGTTGGTTTTGGGGAAAAAAATTCAAAAAATCAAAAAGCTGCACAATCTCCTGCTTCTTCAAACATCCCCCAGTCCCATCAGTGCTGTGACAACATGTAACTAAGCCCATTCAACCTGAATACTTTTCGGGTCAAAGCAGGAGAGACAGAAGGATGTGCGGGAGCAAATTCTTGGCTAACAGAACCAGTAATTTGGTTTTACAGAAGTTAAACATTCATAAATATAGTTTCCAAAGTGCTTTTTTTTTTAAAGGTTTATTTATTTAATGCACAGGTCAGAAGTGCAGAGGGTGAAAGGATTCACCAGAGAAAGAGTGGGGAACAGATGGAGTGAAATACACTGCTGAATGGTGCAGCGGCGGGGGGGAGGGAGGGGGGGAGGGTCAGGAGAGGTCTGCCACACCATGTGGTCAGCTGCCTGGCCGGAGATGAAACTCATGCTGCAGTGGCTGCCAGAGCCTTTTAGTGCTGTGCTTTAACCTGTTGTACCATCAGGGAGGGCCCCCAAAGTACTTTTTAAACGGTAATCTTGCTGAAAAGAAGTCAGCAAATACTCAAAGTTTACCTACCCAGTGCACCTGTTAAACACATGATAACCAAAAGCAGGACACACCAGAGGACATCTGTATTTGCTCTTCTTTCCAATTTACTGCGCTTATACCTGGGACCGCTATTATTCAGCATCGCCTTGGTTTCATGGCCTACATAGGAAACACAATGTCAGAGCACATGCAAATTAAAACCAGTAGCAAACAAGTTAATTAAACGAAGTTACATAACATTTTGTCAAATTGGTTTGTCTTTGTGATCCATTTGGAAAAGCAGAGACCAATGACGAAGTCTATCCAAAATTCCTGTTCTACTTCTGTAGATTGCATTTCAAGTACATGAAAAATATTAACTTGTAGGAAAGCACAGAGACAATGGGAAAAGCGAGAAGGGTAACCAACCTGCGTAAACCACAATGCCCACAACAGCCTCTGTGTTTCTAATGGTGCATCCTCTAAGTAATAAATTTTCTTTACCGAGACCCACACGTTCTTTGTTGGAATGTTCTCTATAAGAAAGAGCATGTAGATTCATTTTTAAATAGCAAAGGTGGGATGAAATAAATCAGGCAGTTCATAGGTAAGGTTTCAACCCTCTGGCCCATCTAACTACCATTGTTATTTTAGTACTACCTGCTTTGGCTGGGAAAAACGGGACAGTGAATTTCTAACTACCATTGTTTTCTATTCATTGTCAACTGCTAGTTCTACAGAGACTCAGATAACTTTAGTGACATAATTTTAGCGCTATAACAATGCAAAAGTTTTACTGGGTTAAATATAATTGCCGTTTGCAATTCCACTCACACCCACAAAGGTAAATCAGGGACTACTCACAGGAAGCCTCGGAATCTGTTGAGGTCATTATTTGGACTTTCACATTCTATCCTACTGGAAAATTTCTCAGGATCAACCTCACAGTCCTAAAAATAAATATTTTTAAAATCACAAAACAAACTGAATTCCAGGTTAAACCCTTAAAATTTAAGTGGTCACCCTTTCACCCTCTCCTAAGGTAAAACGAAGGCATTCTTGTCACACACTTTAGGTCACAAGTTGCTCAAATGAAAGGTAGTACAGGCATAATTATGAATAAATAAATTAGATGAGGATGGTCCTTGGGCATCAGTAAGTGTGTGAAGGTGATAAGAGTCACATGCTGGCGACCCTGTAGTCCTCTCTGCAGAAGAGCTGTTATTCATACAGCTCACATTCTTTTATCTAGAAGGCACTGAAACACTGGAAATTGTTCTGCTGTTCTTTAATCATGCAGGCAGTTTCCGAAATGTGAGTATATATGCTTGTGTATATGTGTGTACATGTAAGTATATATGAAAATCTTGAACATGTATACATTTGATTCCAGCAAAATTTTATTTAAAAATGGAAAATAAGCTAGATAGAAATATCTTTAAAAATTCCCTAATGGATCAAATGATAATTTTAGAATGCTTTATCAACAATGAGCAAATAAGCAAAAGATCTTTACAAAGAACATTGGCATGAATTCATTAAGAAAACGCTATGTCAACTTTATCTCATTTCCTTTCATTTCATATAGATTTTTGACTAATAAAAGAAAGGAGATATTAATATACTTCATAATGTTTATATGAACTTATCATGGCAAACATGGAAAATGTTAGTTATATGACTATATAGTTTGATTTACTAATAATTAGTATTTTAAATTACTGAACTAGAATCTCTCGCACGTGTTTTAAAATATCCTACCTAATTTCTTCCTCATAATACAAGAGATGGGTACTGCGGATAAGTCTAATTAAAAAAACAAGACTGAAAGAGGACTAGTAAATTGTTAAGTATCAAAATGAAATGGTATACAGAGTCAGGATTATAACTGAAGCATCGGTTTTGAGGGTGTGCACCCTTAAATGACACTGAAATGCCTTAAAAGCATGTATGCAGTAGTATGTAACAGAACTCCAAGATGTACAAGATTTTTACCAGTGTTTTAGATACAAGAATGCTTATGAAGTGACAGTGACATTAACTTGAGAGGCATAAATAACTTCCAGAAGATCAAGTGAATTCATAGGAAGATGGGCTCAATACTTATCTGATGATGAAATTTATTAAAGATAAGAATTTTATTTGGCTAAAACATTTTTTGTTTACAAGTATATGATGAAAGAAACCTGACTTAATAATAGTAGGTTCCATTTTCTTTTAAAAATACCATAAATGTTAAAATACTTCATCTCAAGAGCTTCTAGAGAAAGGGAAGGGAAGCTAACATTTAGGCATAATGTATGACATTTTGCATATTTTACCTCATTTGAGTCTCACTATAATGCTACGAGAGACACTATCATGTCCACTTCAAGATAAAGAATTTGAGGCCTGAGCCCTCCCTGGTGGCACAATGGGGCAGGATGCAGCACTGCAAGCCAGCTGCAACTGCTTCAGTGAGAGTTTGATTCCCTGTCCTGGAGGTGATCCCCATGGTGTGAAAGACCTCTCCTGACCTGCCCGCCCGCTGCTTCCCTCAGCAGTGTACTTCATCAATCTGCCTGTTCTGCTACCCCCTCTGTCTCTGGTGAAGCCTCTCACTGCCCCTGCACTTCTGGCTTGTACTCCAGTTCTATATGAATAAATAAATAAATAAGTCTTAAAAAAAAAAAGAATTTGAGACCTAGTGTTTGATACACAAAGTCACACAGTAATTAAAAGGCAGAACTGGAATTCATTAAAACTCTTAGTACTAACTTCAAATTCTTTCTTTCCTGTATTACAACACAGTCTAGTCTAGAATCTCTGGGGCATGAGAAGCTACAAACGTTTAAAATGACTTGGTATATAGGAAATTACAGATTTTAGGAAAAATGTCCAACTCATGTCTCTCTTAAGCAAAACATAAAACTTAAACTACCTTAAGAAAGTAAGTTAGAAAGTGATTATTTTTACAGCAAATTAATTTTCCAAATTGAAAAATAATTCTGTAGCTTTTCGGATTTCTTTTCTAAAAATAGGTATGATTATCAAAACAAAATGTTTGAACTCATATCCTATTATGTATAAAGTATAGCACACCTCCACTGACAAGGAATTGATCAGTCTCTGCGATTCTATTTTATAATGGTAAATCTATCTACACCCATGAAAATGAGATCTGTCATTTTCTGGGGCGAAAAAAATGTCAATAAGTCACTAACTAAGAACACATTACTCACCAGCTCTGCAAAGCCCCGAACCACCTGCCGTTGTTTTAAATTGCTCTCTCCATCAAGACCAGAAGTCTCGATATGACAGATTCCATCTGGATCAGTAGAAAACAGTAAGACCATATCTGCAGGAATGATCTCGTTACAGGAGAGGCGAATAAAGTCTCCAACTGTCACATCTTTCCAGCATCGGTCCACATATTTTTTCTCTCTCCTAAAATTAAAAAAAAAAAAAAGTTTCAAAAGAATATCAAGCCAAAAACAGATTTTTTTTAACATAGCGTGCAATATGTTTAAATTATGATAGTGAATTCCAATCCATCGAATGGTAAAAAGAGAAGCTAGAGAATTGGTAAAATCTAAATTTCACAATTTATTGCAACTAACGTTTAGTTACTAAGCTGCCAAAACAGATTTCTCAGCTTTTGTTTCCTATAAGATTTTGAACCAATTGCGTGTTTGAGTGAAATTCTGGAACAAAATAAAAATTAACATTTGGTGGGTCTATTAATACCTGGAGCAATACCTGTGAGATGTCCTGTGGTCAGGTGCCAGATCCTCAAGGTCCAAGATACATCACCTGCTCTGAGAGAGCTTCGCATCTACTACTCAGTGCTTGTGTGCTAAAAATATTACATGTAGGACACAGGGCATGGACGAGTGTGGTGCACAAAAACAAGTTCAGTGAGGTATTCACTACCACCTTTAGCTACTGGATACTTTTGAAAATTCATAATTCTAGTAGACTCACTGTAAGGCTATCTTTCCTTGACTGAGAAACCAGTAAATTGGTCTTTCTTCCTGGACTCTGTATGTACAACTAAACTTTCTTGCATCTACTTGGTTATTTGTACTTCCCTATTACTCTCACTGGTCAGGCTACTGTGCTCAGTCTCTTCTTCATGCAATGTTCTAGATTCAACTTGCTTCTCTAAAGAGTTCAGTGTCAAGTTGCTTTGGAGAAAGTTGGGGAGAATCCACAATGGAGAATGAACAGTGACTCCACTGGGGTGATAGTTGGGAGGAAGGAGAGAGGGGTACGAATGAACTATGGAGAATGTGGCCTTCACTTCAAACACACTGAAAGAGAATAAGTGGAATTGTGAATGAATATTTCTTTTTCATTGTTAGTATTTTTAGGAAAATATCAAAAGTGATTTTATAATTAGCAAAGAATGAATTATCACTGGGCACAGCTGTATTTATCAAATACTTTTATCATAATTCACTTGATGTTTGTATCATTTTTGTATCATGTTTGTATCATGTTTGTTCTGAGGTTGGTACTAAGAAAGGCACAATGATCCAACTTTTAAAGATGGTAAAAGTGAACTGGCTTTGACAGGTTAAGTAGCCTTCTCAAGGTAACATATCTCCTAAACAGCCCTGGAATTTGAAACAAGGCAAACAGCTTCAGACTCTGCCTCTCAAATAGCAGACTTCACTTCCAGCTGTAGTCACTCATTAATGATCACCAAATAAAACATGGTTTCATTGTGGGTACAAAAGGGAATTTCAAGAACTACTGCTTTGGAAAATGTCATAGATAAGATTAATTATTTTAGATGAATACTGATATTTCATCTCATTTTAAGAATCCTGAAATTCTATAAATTTAAGATATAGCCCTAAAATCTTAACTTTAGCAAGTCCTTTGAAACTCCTAAATCAACAAAGTTATTATTCAAGAACAGAAAACAATATAAATTCTCAAGGGCAGGTATCAGATTATTTTTAGTTTAAACCTCTAAATCTCTCAGTGCCTACAACATAGCAGAGAGTAAAATTTGTTGACCTATCAACAGTTTTATTTTTGGCACATTTCTGTAATCCTTGAAAGAAACCCTAACACTTCACATTTCACAAATGGCTGCTGATCGATCTATCTATCTATCATCTATCTATCTATCTATCTATCTATCTATCTATCTATCTATCTATCTATCTATCTATCTATCTATCTATCATATACCTATCTATCTATCTACCTATCATCTATCTATCTATCATCTAGCTATCATCTATCTATCTATCTATATATCTATATCTATCTATTTTAAAGATTTATTTATTTTTGCATATAGAACTGGGGTACAGGCCAGAGGTGCAGGAGTGGTGAGAGGCTTTACCAGAGACAGAGTGGGGAGCAGAACAGGCAGATCGACGAAGTGCACTGCTGAGGGGAGCAGTGGGTGGGTCAGGAGAGGTCTGCCATGCCATGTGGGTCACCTCTGGGGAGGGCAGAAATCGAACTCATGCTGAAGTGGCTTTAGTTTCTTAGTGTTGTGCTTTAACCTGCTGCACCACCAGGGAGGGACTACTTATTTATTTTTGATTAAAGAGTAAATTTATTTTTAGTTAAGATAATATCTAGATACCCCCAACAGGTGTTGCACTGTAATATACCCACCATGAAACCACCCAGAGTCCACCACCCTAGTTGGCTGCTATTTTAAAGACAACCTTAAGAACGTCCAGTTCTCTGTAATAGTTTCACTTAATTGGAACATAATTAGGCTTAAATGTTTAATTTCTAGATAAGTACTTGTTAATTCCCAGTGACACTTTCCAAATAAAATTAAACATCCTGTAAAGACAACATATTACAAATAAGCACTGAATTATCTGCACAGCAATGCTAATATGTTTCCAAGAGCTTGCAAAAATTAATGGCCTAATACTTTCATCCTAATTTACTGAGAAATTTGTTTTCTACAGTGATTTCTTTTTATTTCAAGTAATTTGTTAGTAAATTTCCATCAACAAGGCATGGTCTTACAGCCTACATTTATTTCTTTATATCCTTATAAATTGTTTCAAGAACAATTGCAGGAGGGGAGGATATAAGTGTTATTCCTCCAAACAAAAGTAAGTGGCAAAGATAGATTAAAAAAGACAATTATCTGATTCTACTCTATTGTGCAAAACAGCCATAAAGTGATATCTTGTAGTAGACTTTAACTGAATAAACGACTACTTCGCATATTTAAGTTTATATGCAAATCATCTAAAAATCACCCCAGATTATGTCTGAAAGTACACCTGAAAAAACATATATACCCCAGGTCTCCTATTAGGCAACTTTATAACATTGTATAGTGTAATAAGGAATTCTCAAATACTAATTGACTCACTAAGGTGACAAGCATAAATTCTAGCTAATAGTTATCATTAACCTATAATAATAATCATAATGACTAACCCTTAAGCACTTAGGAAGGTCTAGGTATGATGCTTGGCAGTTTATACTATGATATTCATAATGATGGAAACTGGGGATTATCTAGTTTGATTTGACCAAAGAGACTAACTGAGGCAATATCAGGATTAGAACTTTCTAGAGCCTACAAAAACAAACACATTATTAACTCTAAGCTAGCACTATGCAAGGGCTGAAAGAGGCATGTCTACCTGTGGGCTCCCAGCTCTGTCTTTTTGACTTTTACATTTTCTCTCCTTGGGATTTACATCACTCCTAACTTGCAGATCACCTTTAAATTGGACTGATGACTTCAAAATTTCTCTCTGTAGCTTCTTACTTCCAGAACTTCTGTAGAATGTTCCTATTCACTCACTGGGAATTTCCACTTAGATATCTACCTTGCTATAGCTTCTAATTCATTCTAAGTTGAAATTGTTGCTTATTGTTTCTATCAGTGGCATTTTATTTTAGAAAGCACAACAATAACAGAAATTTCCCAAATCTACTTGGGTTTTCCTTTAGAGTATTTCTTCTATAAATCCCTTCCTGAATTCTGCATCTATTTCCCAGTAATGTCCAGGTTGATTAGTAGAGGCAGATCTACGAGGGAGCTAGGCTAGCTCCAGAAATCAAGTTGACCAATATTCCCAAAGCACACCTTTGGCCACATTACTTTTCTGCCCAAAAGATGGATCTCCTACCACTAACGGAAATCATCTGCAATGGTTCACTGGATGTGTTAACTGGACCAGGCTATGGCTACCCAAGTGTCTAGTGAAACACTATCTCTGGGTATGTCTGTGCCCTGGACGTGGATGAGATCAGCATTTAAATTGGTGAACTGAGTAAAGCAAATGACCCTCTCCAATATAGGGTGGGCTTCATCAAACCTTTTGAGACCTGAATGGAATACAAACATGGAAGAAGTTTGAGGTGCTCTCTCCCTGACTGGCCAGTGGTGATGGGACATACTCTTCTGTCACTGCTCTTACCTGTTCTCAGGCCTTCGTACTCAGACTGGAACCTATACTAACTGGTTCGCCAGCTCTCAGGCCTTCAGAACTATACCACCTGCTTTCCTGAGACTCCAGTAGATCTGTGGGACCTATTAGTCTCCATAATCACAACAACCAATCTCTTAAAACAAGCCTCAATCCTATTAGCTCTGTTTCTCTGGAGAACCTTGACGAATACAATGTCCAAGCAGTAGCCAGATAATGAAGTCCCTCCACAGGAGGCTGCAAACTCTCTCTTTGACTGCTTTTTTCTCATTACTGTTCCTTTACATGGTTATTTCTCTCCATCCAGAATATGCTCACATGTTATTGTGAGCATGAGTTTGTGAGACAGGTAACATGCTCAATTCATAGTTTTACCAGTCTGTTCTAAAAGTATACACACACACACACACACACGTATATATCTCAGAAAAGGAAAATCCAGACAACTAACATCATGAACTTTGGAGTTCATTCATAAAAGGCACACAAATAAGGACTTAAATATAGTCCTCCCCTTTGATCTAATCATTTCATTTCTGTTAATGGTGAAATAATCATTTGCTCTCCAAATTTTCTGCACAAGGAATACCTACAGAAGTATAAATTTTCAAACTTATATAAAAAGGACATACTTAAATAAATTACAAATATTTAAACATTTATGTCCTTACATGGTAGAAAGAGAATGAGCTTTAGTTTCTTCCTCTTCTAAGGTGAAAAATCATATCATAGGGGTTCTATCCTATGGTTTCATTTAAAGCTAATTACCTCCCAAAGGGCTCACTCGAAAATATCATCCCACTGGGAGTTAGGGCTTGAGTTTGGGGAAAACACAAACATTCAATCCACAACATGGTCATAGGATGGTGGACCAGTGTCCATATAATTTGACAGGCTGCCAGTTATGGAGACAATGCTGCATGGTTTGTGTACTGTATCAGATGTGCAATGCAAGGATGAAGAAGCAACAAAGAATTCTAGGAGAAGAAAAACCACTTTTGAATCATATGGCAGTCAGTGCAGCTATTAAGTAATACTTTCTTAAAGGATAAAAACCTGGTAAATAGTGCAGTACTGGGTGAAAAGAATTAACGTATAGACAATATAAGAAGCACCTTCTCAATTTTGTGAAGCACACATACACACACATGTGCATACAACTGAAGAATAACACCATGATGTCACAGTTGTTTTTGGATACTACCATCGTAGTTAATTTTTCTCTTCACATTTTGTAAATATGCATTACTTCTATAATTAAAGAACATTAAAAGTAGGTAAACTTTATAGTTAAGTATTCAAATAGAGAAACTAGTAAAATAAGTATTTTTTTTAAGAGGATCACGTGAAATTTTGGATTTTCAATAGGATTTACTCAGGGTCCTAAAAGTACTAAATCATCTTGTCACCTCATGTCAGTGCTTAATACCAGACTTTTTCTCTTTGGATGATTATGCATAGCTTTGAATTTAAAAAGGGGTACAGCTACATCAACATAAACTGTGCTAAAGTAGTTTTGTACAAACTATTGTTTACCTCACCTCTATTACCTTGGCTACTAGCTTAATATGTTTTGTTTGAGTCAATACAACTTACTGATCTCACTTCAAAAGATATTTAAGTTGGGATAATAAGCAAAGAAAACCAAGTCATACTATCTACTGGACACTGACTTACATCTAAGAGCAAAAATCCTGGGATTGCAAGTAATATAACTGTAGTTCAAAACTTATCTTAACTGACTCTATTCTTGGCTCCACAAGTTTTCTATTTCCTACATACTAGAAATACAAGTCTCGCAGAAAGTAAATGTGTTCCTGGAAAGACCTCCTGTTATGAAAGCCCTCAATTGTTGCTATAATGAATGGGAAGAGTTTTCAGATCTCTAGCTTCACGCACAAAAAAATAATAGTCTCCACTTTTCACAATCCCTTTTTTCTACTGTATCTCTTGGCTTCTCCTTTTCCTATTTCATCTTGGTTTCTATATTCATTCTTGTTTTTCATAACCTATCTTCTTTTTAAACCCAAATTATAGCATCAAGTGTTAAAACCTGTTTGCTTTTCTTCTTGTGGTTTGAAGTTTCACTTGTTCAATTCCACTTACACATGACAGTTTTGCTTTATCAACTCTTAGGTTGACAATGGATTACACACTTTTGTTTTCCTATGGAATCTGAATTAAGTTTACAATTCAACTTGAATAAATATTGGCTGAAAACATCACTATCACAGAAAGGGTCACTAATGGGGGAAAAAAGTAATATTCTGCATGTTTCTAAATGGATCAAGTACTTCCTAGTAAAGTTTCTGTTATACTTACCTACTGTAAACTTTAGTTACTAAATTGTTGATCTGTTTGTCAATTTTGTATTTTCTGTAATCTTCTAAGCCATCTTTAATTGCAATAATTGTAAGGACCACCACCAGAGGCAACATCGTAATTTCCTTTTGGAAGGCTTCCACCAAAGGTACCCAGTTGAGGACAACCAAAAACAGGAAGTATAAATTGGCAACTCTGCAACCCAAAAACACACAAGGAGGTGTTAAAGAATCAGATAAATCCCTTAAACAAACAAACAAAAAAAACAAAAATACCTTAGAGGGTTTTCCATAGTTCTTCTGCATTGATTTTGGATACTACAGAACAGAATTAGCTAAATCTAACAAATCTGAATAAACTTTTTATTACCCCTGTACATTTCCAGCTGTGCCTACTTTTATTATTAAATTAAAATTAGTATTTATTCAATATAAAATAGTAAATACTTGTGAGTCTTGAGCAGTATAACATATGATGTTGATCATAACAGGAAATACTGCTTTTTTTTCTATCATTATAAAAACTAGATCGAATTAAATTAATGTGTTGTAAAAATACACTTTGAAAAACAGCAACTCTTACACTTGAGAGGTTAATTTGTATGTCTATACACTGGATTCAAATAAGGCTCAAAAATAAGTAGAAAAGCCTGAGGGGTTTTTTTCCCTTCATGACCAAGGCTTCTATTTCTGCAATTATGCCATTCAGAACCACCTTTTCAGGAACATCCTCCATTCCTCTGTTTCACACATACAAATGATCTTCCATGAAACCTCAGAGTAAAATCAAACAGCCCCATTCCTTAAAAGAAAGAAAATCTCATCTCTACACAACCCCTTTTTTCATCATTTATTTATACCTGTTAGCTGTCAAGCTTTAAAATAATCCACCCAACACTTATCCTCTCTCACTTTCAACTTCTTTTACTCTGAAAATTTCTTTCCTAACCATTTTCTTCCTGCTTTGCTTTCCACCATTTCCGTGTAGACTGATCCAAATCTACAGTGCTGCCCTGAACTCTGTTCAAGTTTCACATTCTAATTCCAACAAGTGCTCTAGATTGCAAACTCCATAAAAGACACAAACACCACTAATATTCAAAGCCTATTAATTCAACAAATTTGCATCTATTCTTTAACTATATCTTGCTGCCCAGTAAATGAATAATGAGTTCTGAGAAACTATGCTCACATGAGAATCTCAAACTCAGCATTTACATAACCAAATAACCTTCCAGTCAACCTTCTTCTTCTTAATTTTTATTAATAAACAGTTCTGTTTATCACCTAGTCTTCACAGTTCAACATGTTCACATCATCTTCACCTAATTCCCACATCAAATCCATTGTTTCTGAAATAAGTTCTACTTTCTGTTACCAGTGAAGAGTTCAAAGTTCAGTTGTCCATTACAATTCATCAGGATAGATAAAGCATCTTCCTAAATGTTCTCTCTGCCTTCAGTTTACCTCCACTTATGTTGGTCGGAGAAGACAGATTACTTCCCAGTCTCAAAAAAAAATCTTCTATGCTGCTATTGTCTTTCTGCTTTTATTCACACTGCTTTTTTCATCTGAAATGTGCTTTGCTGATGCCTTGCATCCAAAATCTCTTCATGATTAACTTCAAATGCTCTTCCTCTTCTATTGCTTCCGCTACTAGTCTTTTTTCTCCTTTTGTGGCTTTCATTCTACTTGGCAGCATTCTATAACACTGAAAAACTACGCTTTTTCATGGTTTGTCTATATGTCTTCGGTCCCCAGCTAAGGAGCCACTTAACCTGCATTTCCTTCGGTGTTTAACCTCCTAAAACTGGTAGAGGAAGCATCTAGCCATTTGTAAAATGCGAGGTGCATGTAAAGGGTTGTCATTTCACAACAGACTCTAAAATCAATCATCAATGACAACAGAGATGATGTAGGTATCATACAAAGCTAAGGGAATGAAAAATCTGAGAAATCAACAGAATAACAATGCACATTCTAAGACTCTGAGGAATAAAAGAGTACCTGTGAAATTGTTCAAATAAATTTCTTGGCACAAAATTCAGAAGCGTATACTTTGTTGTTCGTATTCGATTATTCACGTAGGTTCCAGAGAACTTTTCATACTCATCTTTGAGGGGCCGGAGATGGGGAACAACAACCCGGTGTTTTCCTGCCAGTCTGGGGGTCTGAGAGGACTCACACCCACAGGCAAGTAGAGAAAAATAGTTGTATGGTCTCTCATCATCAGTCCTGTTTGTACCACGAGTCAGCCGCTGCCAGTGATATCTGGCCCATTGAAGAAGCTCAGTCATGTCCAAAATACAGCAAGATCCAGGTCGTGTGGGTGACCTGGTAAACAAATAATAAAGCACTAAAACACTCCCCTTCAGCTTCTGGAAAGTTCTAAAGAATGGAATGTATAGTAAAAAAAAATTTTATGCCAATGACTATATGATCCAATTGTTCAAAGGATAAATGGACTCATTTAAACATTTGGACTCTTAAACATTTTAAAACAAACTTTTGTTTAAAACAAACAAAAAATTGTATTAAATACAGCACACACCTTCTAACTCATAAACAGAACTTCTAAACAACCAAAGACAGCATCTAAAGGTCACCCCATAACTTGAAGGTAGTAATTTAGGCTTAATGGGTACAAGTGTCTTAATTTATCTAAACAGGGCAGGAAATTGATGTGAGCATTAAAGGAAAAATATGTAAATCACCCAGCATAAAGCCTGTGAGTAAGTCAATAAAACTCTGTGCAGATAAAAAAATGGATGCAAATTCTTTTCACCCGTGTGTACATACTGCCCTCCATTCATTAGAGCCCCTTAGGTCTGGGTTTGGTCACTTGCCTCCCTCTGGCTAGCAGGACACAAAAACAGCCTCCATTCCTGTTTGCCCATGGGGTTGCTTGCTCTTCTTGTTCTTGGAAAACTTGTAGCCCCTGCCAGGGGCCCCAGATAAGTCCACTAGAGGAAAAGCACACGTGGCCTGTAGCAACCAAGTCAGACGCTGCCTGCCAGTTCCCTGCCAACACAGGCACAATCTAAACAGTTCCCAGCTGAGCTCAGCCCACCAAGCTGTGAGTCAATGAAAGTGCTATCAGTTATTAAACTAAACCTGATACACAATCTTGTACCGATTTTCCTTATTTCCAAAAAATGTAGTACTGCCTAGAATATGAGCTCATTAATTTTACTTTTTAAAAAGCTAACATTTAAGAGCCTACTATATCCCAAACCCTTTGCAGTGCACTTTACATGCATTTTTTTATTTAGTACTTACATCAACCTTATGACATAGGTATTTCATTCTTACTAACACACTCGTTTAATACACTGGCCCTTACGTAACCAAAGCGGACCTACTTAGATAGAACCTTGCCTTTCCCCAAGTTACCCGTTCCAGACAAGTCAATGATGGGAAAAATCTCATTGCCAAAGTATTTCTAGGTCCACCTTGTCTTGTCCTGATTTCTGTGACCGCCCACAAGGAAGAAAGATGGGAGACAGAAAGGCTGAACGAGTAGAGTTTATTGCTCCTGGGCAGCAGCTGAGACGGAGCTTTCAAGGGTAGGGTCCGCAGCTACTGCCAGCGCTATAGGGGAAAAGGGTCTCTTATATAGATTCTAGGTTCAAATTCTAAAGCGGTGACTCATCGCTGCGCCCCCTGATGCAAAGCCCAGTTCGTTATGCCCTTATCTAGCCCCACCAGTATCTCCCGGATGCGAATGCGAGGCCCAGTGTATCATCGCCCTTATCTAGTCCCACCATAGTTGTGTTACCCCGCACCTGGTCGCCCCCAACACACCTTCCTCAGTGCTTTCAAAGTATTAACCTTTGATGAGGTGCTGTTGTTTGATCATTGATGACCTTTCCTTTTCCCTTTTCTGATTCTCAAGGAATTTTAGGGAGGACAGAATTGGGGCTCCATCACTGGTGTCCTGAGCCTTCCTCTTCTCAGTGGTCTAGTCTCTCCCAGCTCCTAGTTGCGATAACTCACCCACCCCACCACTTTCTCTTTCCTGAAAAGTGGTTGCTAGGTCGTAGAACTGGCTTTCCCAAGACAATAAATTGTTAGTGTTTCAAGGATTAAAGGGAGAAAAATGAAGAGGCATGGTATAAATTATCATATGGTAGGGATCCTTTCCAATGTCTAGTTTAGAAGTTAAACCAGCTCATAGTGAGGGTCAGCTTAGTCACTCTATTTTAGTGCTTTCAAAATGTGTTGCGATCCCAGGGGGAAATAGCCTCTGATGGAACCCAGAACACAGAGACACACATATAGCCTAGAGCCAAACATCCTACAAATCAATTCTTGCCTTTGTAAAAAGTAGACAAAATTGGCCCTCACTGGTGGCGCAGCGGGTTAAAGCGCAGCACTAGGAAGCTAAAGCCACTTCCGCATGAGTTCGATCCCCGCCTGCCCCAGAGGTGACCACATGGCACCACAGACCTCTCCGACCCGCCCGCTACTCCCCTCAGCAGTGTACTTCCTCGATCTGCCTGTTCTGCTCCCCGTTCTGTCTCTGGTGAATCCTCTCACCCTCCGCATCTCTGGCCTGTCCCCCAGTTCTGTATGAATAAATAAATAAATCTTTTTAAAAAAAAAAAGTACACACAATTGTTATTTAAATGAGTTTTGTGTCCACACATACGAAAACCAAACTGTAGGTCCCAATATGTGTTACATCTCTGATGGGAAGTGATGTTGCCTTTTTCCCCCAGAGGAAGAAGGTGGCCCTCCAATGGAGATATAAATCACAGGCTTTTGATTCACGAAGTTATATGGTTTTCTCCAGGAGACATGCACTTTGCAATCTGCCTTTTCATTGGTTTGTCTCCAAATAAATCCATTTTGGTTGTGGAATAAATGATTTTATTTGTTTGAGGTTGATACCCTCATTACATGAATTTTCAATACAACTCTATCTTCTGGCTCGCCACCTCTCATTTTAAATCTAGTCAAGATATATTTAACAACTTTTGTGAAAAAATTTCAATCTAAAATAGAATTGGAAGTTACACAAAGGAAAATATCATGCTTGCATCCTCAAGAAAACAAAACTTAAGACAGATAAGGATAGAGAAACTATCTTCCTGTAAATGCCTGACTTACAGAAAATTGAAACTCATCACAGTTCACCAACAGAAATTCACAAAGAATCTCTCCCCATCCATAAACCCTTAAATTTGCTGTGTAAAGATGTCCAACTTTCAGAAATAGCCAAACAAAATTACTAAATCACCCAGACAGTAACTGCTGGAGATTTATTATTATTATTTTTTTAAGATTTATTTATTTATTCATTCATACAGAACTGGGGTACAGGCCAGAGATGCGGAGGGTGAGAGGATTCACCAGACACAGAGTGGGGAGCAGAACTGGCAGATTGTCCAAGTACACTGCTGAGGGGAGCAGTGGGCGGGTCAGGAGAGGTCTGCCACGCCATGTGGATCTCCTCCAGGGCAGGTGGGGATCGAACTCATGCGGAAGTGGCTTAAGCTTCTTTGTGCTGTGCTTTAACCTGCTGAGCCACCAGGGAGGGCCCTGGAGATTTATTATACAGTTATCAAGAGAACAGTTTGCAAACAGGTACATTAATGTCAAACACAAACTGAAACTTAAAGGTATGTTATTACAAAGTAGCTAGTGAAAAGAGAAAGCAATGAATTGTTTATTCTTCACAGTGATTTATTTTTAATACCAGAACCTTCTTAAGAGAGAAAGAGTTTTAATCAAAAGTTGATTCAGAGTTTTCCCTGGTGGTGCAAAAGAAGCTCTCTGAAGCTACTGCAGCATGATTTTGATCCCTGGCCAGGGAACTGACCCACATGGAGTTGCAGACCAGACCTCTCCTGACCTGCCTGCTTGGCAGACCTCTCCTGACCTGCCTGCTGCTCCCCTCAGCTGTGTATTTCAGTCCATCTGCCTGTTCTGCTCCCCACTCTGTCTCTGGTGTATCCTCTCCCCCCCCCACACACACACACTTAAGCATAAAAAAATAAATCTTAAAAAAAAAGTTGATCCATATAACTGGGGAATTTTGTATTTGGTTTCCAAAGGCTGAGATAAGAAATGACCCAGGACAGTTTGGTCTTGCCAAATGTGACGAATCACAGTTTGTTTTATTGGCTTAAATAAAGTACAGCCAAAATTAAGTGAGTTTGTTAAAGAATCAAGACAGAGGACTAGATCACAAAAACAGCGTTAGATAGAGGACTAGATCACAAAAACAGCATTAGATAAGTCTGGGAAAGAGGCCCAAACTTTGAACTTCTCAGGGAGCATTTTACACAATTTGCAATGGATATATTTTAACCACCCAGCTAGATGTCAATGTATCTGTCTGATGTTATCTATGTATTGAGGAAAACAAGGTGTCTTGTTAAAATTTACCCAGTCCATTTAGAATCTTATCTTCTGGGAGTAAGTTTCATTCACCAGGAGACAACTTTTTTATTGTCCCTGATGTAACTTCTTTGCTAGACCAGTCAAGCTGTGCCTTGGCTCTTTGGTTGAGATCACAGTGAGGGATGCCTAATTAATTGTTGATTTTCTACTGGTTATCCCTGCTCCCTGAATTTTCAGGGCTCATCTCTGGTTTGGTTTGGTTTATTTATTTTTCTTTTTTTGTTGTTAAAGATTTATTTATTTATGCATACAGAATTGGGATAGAGGCCAGAGGTGTGGGGGCGGTGAGAGGATTCACCAGAGACAGAGCCAGGAGCAACAGGCTGACCAACTAA